GTCGTTAGTTAATACTGAAAAATTTCGATCCCACGTACAAGAGGCTGAATTAGGCTTTCTGAGATGAATCGCTAGGCTAACGCGTCTCAACATTGCCCGGAGTACAGAAGACCGAGAAAGTCTAGGTCTGCAACCGCTACTTCTCTAGGTTGAGATATAATAGCTGCGATAATTTGGACAGGTCTTGAGAAAGCTTCCAGAAACGAAAACGAAACTACTACTACATACAGAACCGAGATCAAAGGCGATGGGGAGAGTGACCAGTGGCAAATATCTCAAAGCACTCTGCTCTAGACAAGGGTTATCTTCTGCCGAATCACAAACGTTGGCACAGGATCGAGAACGATAGACATACAGTCTGATGCGTGTGTCTCCGCGATTCGAAAGGATAAGCAGTAATCGATTCTTGCCTGATTGACGCAAGAAACGGGATTGGCGAAAGATGAGAAGCTACGAGGTAAATAAATATCATAAATTATATAAATGCCTTAATCACTTAATGGCCTTAAGTACTAAATTAGGGGAATTCTCTTAATTAGTAAGCATTGAAATGGTACGAACTTCTGAGAAAGTTCACAACAGGCTACTAGCTCTAAGCTGAAGGAATCACTTCCAAGCGGACTGCACCCGTCATCCCTATTGCTTAACGTGCTGAGCCCAAATTTTTAGAGCCATGCTTGGCTCCATCTGTGTCGATTTGAGAATATGATTTCGGAATATTCAAAAATAACGTCATTCGCAAGGTCGGCTATAATAAATTTGTACATAACTTTACACTTCAGCTTTTGCTTATTATTTTAAATCAGTGTGGATAAACCAGATTCTTCACCGGTGTATTTAAACAATATGCACTTGATTGCATCTTCAAAGGATCATATAACGGATAGGCTAATATAGTGCGAAAAACAATAAAAGTTCGTTTAAAAAATAGGGACCATAATTCAAAATAAACTTAGGTAAATGAAACAAAGTGATTTAAGCGTGAATCCCCTTCCACTTAAAATATGCTAGGACCCCTGAGTTCTCAAAATCTTTGAAAAGACCAATTTAGAGTTTAAAAATTTTCCCCATTTAATTTATTAAGTTTTGCTGCTCAAAAATTCTACCTCAATGCCTCAGTGCAATGTAATAGTGATCACGTCTGCCTGACAGCAGTCATAGCACAATGCACTGACTGACATCAGTCCAGAGAGAGTCAGAAGGGCCTCGTTTGATACTGTAAATCAGCCAAGTTTAAAAATATCCAGGAAGCCACACAGAGGCCAGCCAGTTGGTGGCTTACTATAATCGTTAAATACTCACATTAAGATGGGATTCAGCATCTAACATGCCCTTCGGCTTGTTCCACTGCGGCTGTGTGGATTCGACAGATGAGGGGTTGCTAAAAATGCCGAATACCAGGTCATTAGAAGAAAAACCGTTAAAGACTTCCCTTTCGGTGTGCAACTACAACTGCAAAACACTTCTGCAAAAAGAACCGATTAATCATTAGGTGCCAGGTAAGTCCAAGATAACCTCTGACGTGGTCGGTCTCTAGGAAAGGCGAAAAAGCGACCAGTTAGAGGACAAATGGATGAACGGCCGTATGATCAAGCTAGGAAAAGTAGAAGGCATGAAAACCGTTAGAAGACTCGGCTTTATCAACAAGTAATGGTGTTTAAGAGTGATCTGTTTCAGAGGCCCAGGAGTGTCTTATCCACAAGTGATCAGGAATCGCGTCTGCAAAATGACCTACAGTTAAGCTCTTACAAATACTAGCAAAGAAAAAAATGTGAAAACGTTTTATCAACAACTGCAGGATTTAATAACTTAAAAATTAACGTACGCTATGATTATAGGAGAATTCAACCCCAAAGTTGGAGGAGTGACAGAAGCTTAAAGGTTCTTTGTCGTATGGCAATGAAGAACGAAATTCACGAAAAGAAAGTTTGATAACTCTGGTAGAAACAAGAGGATACGTTTATTGGAAACACCTGATTCAAAACAAATTCTAACTTCCTATATCGTTCCACCTTGAATGAAATGGATGAGTCAGTCATCATCGTGACGCGTTCTTCGAAAAATTACGGGTTCCATTTTATCCGGGTCATGCTTCTGAATTAAATAAACGACTTCCAGGTCATAAAAATGGAAACGAGCACTACGCGCTGTACGTTTCATGTAGCTGTGAATATTGTTTTCATTTTTCAGCACTTATGCCGTATGATACTGAAACAAAGACTCGCCTGCATCATAAAATTCATCAATGAAAACCGCCACAAGACGACGCCAAAAATTACATATGATGGAGATGGACTTAGCAGCAGTCATGAACTTTAGCTTTTCAAGTCTAGAAACGCAGTTCGCACACAAGATGAGTCTAGAAACAACGGATGAAACCCGTATCCATTATGATGCTACTGTATGATGGAAAGGCGGCCCGTACGCCGTGGAAGCGAGAATTTGGTGACGGTTCACAAACAGACATAAATGATGAATATCATAGAAAATATGTTGATTCAGGAAAAGAAAGACATGCTGCTATTCTTCTTATTAGAATGCCCAATTACATTTCCTTAATTGGCACTACTTTATGTTGAATGACAGGCTTGGCTGAAGATAGTCGATCATTCAACCCTGGCCATGTAATTCAAGGACTTGCTATATCATGAACCATAAGCTTGTGAAAGAACTCCATTTGCTATGCGCCGAAGTAAATGCAGAGTGATAACTACGGAGAGCTGTTGATCAGCAGGCATGTCACAGAATTGGGAGTAAATAGGCAGAAATGGGGGCTACCTCAAATTTGAACTAACTAAGAACGTCAGTCAATTAAGAATGAGCTCACCGGCTCAAGGCTTAAGAAGCTAACTTTCCACAATTAAATCGAAGTCGCTGACACATTTTATGAAGGCTAAAAAGTAGTGCATATCAGAAACATCCGCGTAGGATCTGGTACACATCTGGCCGCTGTGGCATACAGTCCAATTCCCTACTGATGATGACAACGATGGACGCTAGTCTTTTGGCAAGGACGAAAAACGAGGCTTGAGAGAGGCTTCGCAGCACACGTCTCGATTGGTCACAAATAAAGCGATCGGGTTTTCAGGGCATGTCGATAAAATGGGTTGAATAGTTTTTCTTGAGCCTTCGTTTTTGCCGTACTATTCAGACCGTAGCATTATTTCTAGCTGTGCACGAGGCAATGCCGAATACAACCGAATGAGACCAGTTTGTTGTCTACGACGACAACCAGTTCGTCAGGTAAAAAGGGCCTAAGACGGTTGGTCAAAATCGGACAAGCAATGTTTATAAATCTGATCGACCAATCAACAACGACTTGCCAGAAACTGGTTGTTTTTTGTGACCATTTCAATCAATGAGTAGCTTTATAAGGACCCATCTTAGCGACGTATATCATAACGTCGTGAAAAATTAATTACGATTCATGATGCAGAGAGCGAAGTTCGCCGCGTACCT